TGACAACACTAAAAAATGAAGATATAACAGTTGAGAAAGCTCGTACGTAAAAGCCAAACCGATGAAAAATATAGGAAGTTCGGATAATTCCACCTACTACTGAGGTTGGCCTATTTATGGTATGAACAAATTTCATTCGGTATAAAATGAAAGCATCGAATAACAATTCTAACACATCGACAAATGACAAATGGAAATCCGGAAGACACCATTCTTTCCAGGGTTTGAGAAGAAGCATTTTCCTATAGATGAATCTGTAATAAGTTTCAGATAGATTCTAGCAGAGAAAACAAATCTCTACTAAGATAGCTTTAGAGAGTAACAAAAAGCGATACTTAATACAGTAGGATCTGCAATTACAGTCGGTCATCGATAAGCTAACATCCACTGGAAGTACTGCAGGAATTTCTCTCGAGATAAGTAGTCTTATAAATAGTAGAAATCTAATAAAGTTCTGCAAGATTATCTATCAATCAAAAGTCATGCTTTTTTTTTATACACAAAGTTCTTCCAACACTTTTTAATTTGAAGTAATAATTTCGTTTTAATAATAATAAGATTTCTGAAATTCTGAAATCCTGTTATCTTACCTGCATATTTGACATTGTATTCTGCTCCTTCCAGAAGCTTTTCCTAGCCAAGAATTAAAGCATTGCTTATGAACCCATAACATTGAACCGGAACATTTACAAGGTCTTAACCAATCAATTTCACCCGATCCTTCCACATAACAAAATCTGCAAATCTAGAAAAAAAGCAGCGTTATTTGTAACATCAATAAAACATCATCTGTTTCTTAATTATCTATAAAAATGACATGAACTAATGAAATAATCATCAGTATTACCTTCAAATTTGTTCGCGAAAATTGATCTCCATCACTGAATCCATTACCGAATGATTCACATGCCTCCCATTTATCATGTTTCATCCTTTCAAAGCTCATAACTACCTCCATGAAACACACATCAATAGAGAACTGTAGTATTTATAACTTAGTAAGTAAACATATCTAACTATAAGCCAATTCACAAAGTACCAGAAAATACCTTTTTCCTCTGTTAAACTCAAACATTAAAAAAAGAACTGCAGATAACAAATTCATCACTTCATGGTGATATCTAATCCAGGATTGAAAAATTGTGGAAAGAAATGTGAAAAAATGTATTATGGGGAAAAATAACCTTGTTTCAGTGTCAAAATGACCAAATCAAATTCATTAATTTATTAAAAAAGATATCGGATAGGCAAACATAATACATAATATACGTATTTCGAGCACCAGGAAAATACAAGGACAAAAGATAGACAGTTTTTTGGAATTTCATGTTAAAGTAAGATATGATTACTCCCACAATTAATAATCATTGTCGGGTATGTAAAAGTTATTCAACTTACAAAACAACCGCAGTAAAAATAAGTTGTTATGTCAAATAATATAATGTATTCCAAGCCTTTTGCTTTTTCTTCACTTTTTTAAAAACCACTTTAACTGAAGTGAGAAATCAGTAGATTGCTAAACAAATTTAATGATCTATCTTCGTCACAAGGATGTTACCTACAAAGTATTATATAAAATTTTGAGTGCAAGAAAAGTTCTAAATGTTTGCACGGTTCCAAGTTTCAATTCATACAAACTCGATATCACCATGTTAAAGAAAACCTGACCCATGAAAGTAACGTTTCCGCTATTAAAACGGAAAAAAAAGTAAAGCACAGTAATAATGACAAGACATATATTAAATAAAAGGTATTTATCATTCTTCCTTTCTCTAACGAATGGGAATATAAACAGGATGACTTTCTATACACTGAATGATTTCGAAATATGTTTTTCAAAACGCAGAAGGCGTAATTATGATGTAAGGGGCTATAACTTTTAAAAAGTATGTGTGCGAAAGACTTCGGTTAACAATAATGAAATTTGAAAGACAATTTAGAATCAATAAAGCCATAAAAATAATTTAAAATATAAAACGACCAAAAATAATTTAAAATGAGTAGAACAACCGGGTCAGTAAAGATGAGAATCATTATTGGATTCTGAGATACCTAATTCAATAGCAACAAAAATAGTCAATTTCAAATTGATGATTCCTAAAACTTACTGGGAATGAATCATGATGTATCTACAAAAAACGATCACAATGCATCTAGAACCGTCGAAGAGCATACCGATGTAAGAATGCCATATATAATATTTGAATAAAAGTTAAGTCTTATTCTAGTGAGAACGACTAGCTTCCATAGCAAAACATAGCTAACATAAAGAAAGAACGTAACCCTATTATCCAAACAACGTGGAAAATAACGATATATGCGGTAAGTCAGAGTTATATCGAAATATATTCCGAATATATCGGTTATCCGCAAACGGAACTGTGGCCATTGCCAATGTTTGTAAGGCTTTAATTTCCATTGACGTCGATACACATAACTGGAATTGTTTTATTGTTCAACTTTTAGTTACGAATAAGAAAGTAAATTCTCAAAAAGAAGATTAAAAAAGGGTAACTTTTGGTCTTCTTTTTAGTAGTAGTTATAATTGCTCATATAATCCCAAGCTTTAAATATGACCGGAATCAAAAATTCTTTGTTCACAATAACAACAACAATGCAATATAAGGCTCCTCTTTTCTCATCGTCATTATATTACTTACGAATTATTAAAATAAATTGAATTTCACTAAATAATCAAGAGAAAAAATTTACTTGCATATAGCACAACTGTATTTCATAGTATATGGAGCAAACGAAAGCCACTGCTCGAAACAACTCAAATGAACCCATTTCATTGTTCCGATACACTTACATGGTGCCAACCAATTACTAATAGCATCATCTGATAAACAATATCGGCAAATCTAAATATTGACATAATTATTTCTCAAAATTATTCATATATATAAAGAATTTGAACCTTCAATTTACTTGAATTATTATTACTAGTGGAAGAATTGTCTTTATTAGAGTATTATTTATATCGCAAATTTTCTACTGACATACCTTGGACCGATCAGTCTTGAAACTACTGAAGGATGATGACGTAATCCGAGATGAAAACGGAAATATACCAGATAAACCTGTTACATTGCTTTTTACACTCGATAAATACGATACTCTACTATTCGTATCATTACTAAAATTACTAATACTACTACTATTACTACTCGATGGCACTGCAGCGTTTATTTCCTTCTCCATACTGTCAATAAAATCCTGCAAAAAATTTCAAATCAAATTCAATAGGAATTATTCAAAAGTGTCAACATGTAGTAATTCAGAAAAAGTATAATCTCGAACATATGCACAATTTCTTCTAATCAATTTTAATCTTTCTCCTTTCACTCTTCTTTTATCATCCCACATAAATTATTCTCGTTTAATTACTCCTACTCTAATCGCTACTAAACACATAATAAGCTATCATTATGCTTGCAAAAAAAAAAAAAAAAAACATCGACTGATGATCAATACTGGAGAAAACGGATCCTTGAATGGTACCGAGAAAGAAAAAAAAGCACACCGGAGAGCTCACCACTGAAACAACGGCAAACCGCCAAATACCAATCAGTACGCTTCTTTTTCGTAAACATTTTAAGTCTGGTGGTGGTGATGTGTGTTGTTTTTCTGAATGGGTGTTGTTGCTGTGGCATGTTTGATGTTTCTTTGACCTTTGACCTGAGTTATCGTTACGAGAAAAGAAATGCGGTTGTTATCTTTTCACTTAAGTACGAAATATTGATTGATTCGACGGAAAAACTAGTAAAAAGGATGTATTTAGTTTGAGCTTTCCCCATAAATTTGACATTAAACATGATGTAAGATTGTCACATTCCACAGAGATTAAAGATTTGAGCTAACCGAAAAGAGTGCAATTTCCGGAATCACTGAAATATGTCCTGAATTCTGGCATTTATGAGTTACACTTCTAAGAATACTAGTATTTGAAAGCTTAATATTTATAGAGATTCGAAAACAAATATGCATACACAGAAGTGAAGTAAGGTTACAGAACATGACCTTTTCTGGACATGATGTAGAAATTAGGTGAAATTGTAGGATATAACCCTAATGACAATGTAATACATTAACATATTTGTCTTATCTAACAAGTAACAAACAGATAAATTTTTAATATACATTCATTCATTGTTCATTCAGATTTTGCTTCGAAAATGTAATAAATGTATGTGATATTCTCGAAATGAGGCAAAATATAACGGCGAAAGTGTTCAGTTTAAGGAAAGAAAAAGTTAAGCAAACATAAATTTCATTTAAAAAATTTGAAAAAAATATGACACATTTAATAGAGCTAAATACTATCTTTTTTTCATTTCATATTAAACAAGTACGAGAGCTTTTTTCTGCTTATTTTCCATTTTTTGTTAAAACAAAAACACATGAGACGTTTCGATTGTTTATTGTTGTCACGAGATTTACTGTTTACACATACCGCTCGCAATAAAGTTTCAACAATTTTTAGAACTATGTTTAAAATCTTTATTTTGTGGAATATCTAAAAATATTATTTTAGCTGTTAATGCAAAGATTTATATGACTGTTAGAGTAAAAAAAAAATGAATAAATGGCATAATAATTTGATAAATATTTAATAAATGAATGACCACTTTTTTTTTGCACTTTATTTTGTTGAAAAATCAAACGTATTAATAATGATTTTGTTGTGGAAAAAAAAAGAAAAAAGAAAACTAATCGCCTAAAAAGAAAAAAGAGAAAGAAGTGAGAAATGAAATGGTTGGAATTATTGTTTTTCGAGAAAAAAAAGGCATGAAATTATTTTATTGGATTTAGTTAAAAATTGCGACAAATAATACAATGACGAATAACAATAGCATCATCGTCTCTAAAGGATGTCGTTGAAGCCATTGAATGAAACGATTTAACTCTTTTAATACTTCCTCCTGAGTATAATTCATTTTAATCGATTGCCTGTAATTATGTAGTAATAGTCATTTTATTATTAACTTGAAGCATTCATGTAAATTTTTATGAATTTTAACGGATAAAATGAATTTTTTTCCTTTTTTTTTCTTGCAAATGTAAGAAATAATGAGTGGAATTTTAGCTGGAATTGTTTGGAATTCCAATTCAAATTATTTGCAATATTACAGTGTAATACGATAATATTCTTGCATAAAAGGATAATACGGTAATATTCTTGCAGTGATTGCTTTTGTCAAAGGATAATCCGACATAATAGCTGGGAAGGGAGGGAAAAATTCAAATTGGAGATGCTATGAAAGACATCATTTTGAACTTCAACTAATCAATCTGTTCTCACCATGTTAAATAATTTTTCAAGCAATTATAGAGCAATCAAATTAAGTAAAATTTTCGGATAATTTATAAGTTCATTTGTTAGAAATTAATTTTCAGGCAATTATAATCATTCGGATAATTTATAAGTTCATTTGTTAAAAATTAAGTTTCAGAAAATTATACAGCGATCAAATGAAATGGAGATAAATTCAAATGTGCTCGAGAACTGTTCATTAATTCATTTTACATTTAGCTAAGGAAAACGGAAAGAGATAAACGTACGCAGCACGATTAGCTGTTAATGTTTCAGAGGACAAAATTACTTCTTTTCTTTCAAACGTAAATTTCATTAAAGGTATTTCTCTGCCTGCTTGTTCTCCTTCTGAATGTATTCGTGCTGTAATTTAATTACTTACATTGCACAATACTAAGCATCAATCAATATGCTATAAAAAAGTTATTCTGAATGAAAATATTAATATTTTAAAAGTCGAATAGAAAGATGATTGTCGATAGAATAGAATAATAGGTAAACTAATGTATATTTACAATAATTTTAATGATAAAAATTCATGTTACTCATGAAGGTAGGAATTGAGGTAAAAAAAAATTGAAAAGTGAGAATTTAAAAATACTGATTGGAAACTTCAAAATTTTTCAATCGATCGATATCCAAAAAATCGGTAAGATTCTTCAGCATATTGTAATATAATATGTATTTGTGTAATTTATAAATGAATTAGTAGCACTGTTTTTAATTTTTTTTCTTTTTATCTAATCACAGATAGGCAACAATTTTATTACCTATTAATTTGGTTACTACCGTTTGATTCTTATCGATTTCTTGTTCAACAAAATTTGTAATAAGTATTAATTTTGGTGTTTTCATATCTTGCTCAATTTGTTGATACTTTGATCGTCGCCATGTCAGAAAGCAACGTTGTTCCGCACGTGGCGGAATGCAACCACTTCCAGCTGGTGTAGCCTACGAAGGAAAAAATGAGAATTTTAATCGTTCCTGAGATCAATTTAATAAAATGATCATTAATTATTAAAATTGATGAGTGAAATAAAATCGATACAATCCATTTAATTTGTTCGGATAATGATATTTACCGTAATGCTGGAAGTTGTATCGGAGCAAAGCTTGTATAGTAATGGTACATCAGCATCATTACATAATTGCATTTCAGTTAATGCTATTTCAGGTCGTTGTTTCATGGTTGTAAAGTAAATAGCTACTGCTCTACAATTTCATTCAAGAATGATTGGCAATTTGATTACTTCGTTGAAATTAATTCGAAAAAAAAAGCTAGCTTTAATTGATTTAAAACAAGAGATTGGATATATAGTTAAATTTAAATGTGAATTTTTTATAATTTCAATTTCATCAAATTTTAGCAATATTTTTTTCGAATGAATTTTATCTAATCTAAGTGAAATCAAAAATTGTCAATCATTCTTGATTATGATTGAGTTCATTTTACAATTAAAATAATAGATTGAATATTTTAAATGGAAAAATTTTTATTGATTGACGGTGAAGAATGAGCAATAGTTTTTGTGAATGGATAATGATTAGATACATTTATTTTCTATATTTTAATGATAATTTTCTTTTTTTGATCATCGATAACTGATTAATTATTGATCGTTTTAAATTAACGTTTGCAATAAAATAAATAAATAAATAAATGTATGTTTGCAAAATTAATATAAAGAAAAAAAAACATTATAATTAGGATGAAATTTTGTATGTAATTATAAAAGATTGTACTGTTTCGGTTTTTGCCGTTGTGATTTGATAACATAGCTTGTAGTTAATGGTGCATGCGACATTTGTGTATCATCCAAATTTATATCTTTGCTTGTTGAATTTTTTGCAGTGCTACTAAAATATTACGGGGAATTATTAATTTTAAACGATTATCATTATCAGTTTATCTTTCGTCAATTAGTTTCATATAATTATTTAGACCTGAATGAGGCATTTTTCTTATCAACAATCACTTTCAATTTTCTTCTATTTTCTTCTTTTCTTTTTTTTTTCAATTTAACTTGCCAATTCAGTGGAAAAGATTTTATGGGAGAAATATATACAGAATATTTTTTATTCATAGTTGAAGTAATAAATTTAAAGTAGCAGACAGTTTAAGGAATGTTGACATTTTTAAAACAGCTCATTTAAGAAATGTACTATCATCAAATTAACCTCGATTAATCAATGTATTTAAGTGGAGGGAGAGAGAGAACGAGAGAGGGAAGAGAGAGAGAAAGAGAGGGGGTCGGAAGGAGGGAAGCGGAAATAAAAAGGGATGAAATGATTACAGGTTGCTTTTCATCATCCTTGAAACGGACATTCTTTGTGATCGATCTGAGCTTAGCGATACTTTCTGCATAATTTCCTCAATTCCTCGATTTTCTCAAAGAATCAACTTATTAGCCGACAATCCCATAAAATGATGAATTATTACAATGAACAATTTTGCAGTTTGTTCATTGTTTTAATTTTGAAATTACCGGTAAATTCACATTCAAAAATTTAACCTTTAAATTTTAAAACATTATCCACGATGATTGATTGTTTATTGGTTGAGAGCAAAAAAGTTGCCTATTCATATTTTAATTCATTTTGTTTCATATGAGCAATTTTTCGGTTTCAGAAATATGAAAATTCGAATTAAAAAAAATGAATATTTAAAAAAGTTGGGGAGAAAAATTATCAATAAATTTCGATGCTATTTTTTAATTTTGCTATTACTTATTGTTATCCTTTTCTAATCTCTTTCACTTTCTTGTGATAATTTGAAATATGACGAATAATTGAGAGTACTAAATGATAATATCATTAAAGAAACGATGCTAAAACTGTAACCTTGTCCTTCCAAATTATATAAATGGAATTGATCAACCAATTTGACTACAAAGAAAACTGTTATCTAAGAGTTAAAAAATAACGAGGAACAATTTAATATCTGCAAAAAAGCCTAAACGACCATTAAATATTTATTCCAGCCTTTCATCATCAAATTTAGTCGGATTTGACTATACTTATACCTTAAGTTCAAAAATTTGATCCATGATTGTAAATTATAATTATGATCAGAATTTACTAATCGATATGTGAATGTAACTGTTAGTTGATTACGCATATATTTTCACTGTAAAATCATTTTTAATTGATTATCGTCAATCAAAAAAATTACAGTACGATGACATGATGACGGAAATATCAAATATCAGCGACTGTACATTCGTTCAAAAATAAAAAATATTCAGTTATAAATCGATTGCAAATACTAAAATTCAAGAATTAAAGCAAAAAAAAAACACATAAATGTGAAAAAAAAACAAATTTCTTTTTCAATTAAAAATAGATCATACCATTTTAAAAAAATGAACGATCGATAATTTTTTAGCTATTTCAAAATTTCGTCCATTTCTAATGTCAATTTTAAATGAACAATTTCACAAAAATGTTATCTAATCAGGAGTAAAGTAATCAATAATTATTAAATAGCAAAATAATTTTTCAATTGTCAAGCAAATTATTATGATCTGCTCCAGTAAGCAATCGATAAATAGAGAAGGAATGTTAATGTGTTAACCTCAGAGGGAGTGTTGTTGTTGTTGTTGTTGTTCTGGACACAACAGATCGCTGAGGTCAACGGTCATCTGACTGGTCATCTCTCTCACTCTACACTAAACTATTTTAGGTACATGCGACGACCACATAAACTCACCTCTTAATGATTCTATTGCGTCATTTTTTTACTTTTCTTTGTTAACTATTGCGTAAACGATCAGAAGTAGTTATTAATGGTATGATTTCAATTGTTATCAATTTTGAGAAATAAAATTCCTTATTTTTCACCGATTTTATTCATAACTGTTTGATAAAATCACTGGATGAATATCGGAGATAGCGATCCGTTTGTTCAATTTATATTCCTTATCAGTTAACATTTCATTATCAACCGATATAACATTATCTTCGTCTTATGAAACATATTTTATCGAATAATTTACAATCCTTACTTTTCTTTAGAAAATAAATAACAAAAAAAATAAAAAAATAAAAGAGAAATTTCATCTTACAACATACGATGAATTGAGAAAATCGATATAATTCTTGAGTTCTCACATTTCTGCTGTACTGTACTGTACAATACTATACTATTGTTACCATACTGATAACCCATCATTATGTTCAAAAGATGAATTTTTAAAAGTATAAAAAAAATTATTAGACCAACGTTAGTCAATATTTTATTAAAAAATTTTAGAATTGATTGTTTGGTAATTGACCCTGATTGTTTTGTATTTGACCTGTAGCCTGACTGTAACAGATTCCTTTTGTATCATTACTTCTTTTTTTCTTTCGTAGCAATAAATAGGTGTATGTCGTTGCGAGCGACTGTTATAAAATTTCAACAAAACCTAAAATATGCTTTTAACATATCAAATCTTAATGTGTAAATTTTTTAACAGAACAAACTCGAAGTAGTAGAAATTCGTCCAGAATACAAAACGAATTGAACAAACCGTATTGGATATGGATAGAGAAAATCAGCCAAATCGTCCAACTCATTCGACTGTCAAGGGCAATCATTCAAATCGTCCAAGTTATCCGGACATTAGAGGGAATCGTCCAAACCGTCTAACTTATCCGGATGTTAGAGAGAATCATCCAAACCGTCCAACTTATCCGAACGTTAGAGGGAATTATCTAAACCGTCCAAATTATCCGGTCGTCAGAGGAAATCATCCGAATCGGCTAACTCATTCGAACAGTAGAGGAAATTATCCAAATTGTCCAACTCATCCGATTGTCAGAGGAAATCATCCAAACCGTTCAACTCATCCGATCGTCAGAGAAAATCAACCGAACTCTTCAACTTCTCCGATTGACAGAGAAAATCATCCAAACCGTTCAACTCATCCGATCGTTAGAGAAAATCATCCAAATCGTCCAACTGATCCGATCGTCAGAGAAAATCAACCAAATTCTTCGACTTTCTCGATTGACGGAGAAAATTATCCAAACCGTTCAACAACTCATCCGGTCGTCAGAGAAAATCAACCAAACCCTTCAATTTCTCCAACTAACAGAGAAAATCATCCAAATCGTCCAACTGGTCTGATTGCCAGAGAAAATCAACCAGACCCTTTGATTGACAGAGAAAATTATCCAAATCTTCCAACTGATCCGGTCGTCAGAGAAAATCAACCAGACCCTCCAACTTCGCCAATTGACAGAGAAAATCAACCAAACGTTTTAGCTCAACCGATTGGCAGAGAAAATCAACCAAATCCTTCAACTTCTCTTTCTCCGACTAACAGAGAAAATTATCCAAATCGTCCAATTCACCCGACTGGCAGCGGAAATCATCCAAACATTCCAGTTCATCCAATCGACAGGGAAATTTATGGAGACAATCTGATTGACAGGGAAATTTATAGAGATCATCCGATCGATAGGGAAATTTATGGAGAACATCCGATCGTAAAAATGTTTCGTCGACATCTGTAAGTTAACTTTCTTTTCATTTAACAAATCTCTTCCATTGCTTATTTTATGTAAAATAATGTTTTTTTTTTTTTTTAAAAATGAATGACAAGTAATGAATTTTAAAAAAGACAAAAAAAGAAATTGTCATCATTATTTAACAGTAAAATAACGATTTAATAATTAATATTATTAAACAATAAACAATAAATTATTCACCTTATCATTTATTTATTAATTTCTCTCTCGAACAATATCAGCACACTTACAATTTTGTTAACAATCTTTCTTGCTATTATTTTACCAATCAGTAATTGTCATATGATCATGTCAGTATAAACATTACAATCACCTCTAACATTTATTTCCTTTTGTTATCACTGTATTTCTTTTCCTCTTTTGAAATGAGAAAAAATAATTGAAAATGATAGTAATAAAAGTTTAATAATGAGCAAAAGAAATGTTTGAGTACGAGAATTGAACCTATAAGCTAGTACTCACTATCGCTTTCATTCAAACTACATTGCTAAATCTGACATTATTAGCTCTAACTCAATATATTAAGAAAATAATGGATTGTGAAAAAAAATTATAACATCAATAATTATATTTCAAAAAAAAGCATAAATAACGACATTCTCTTTTTATATTTCATTCTGAAATTATGCAAATTTCCTGATAATATTCAAAAATTTTCGAATAATGCATCATTAGTTTTTCCAGTTTGTCCATTTCATTTCTATAAAATTTGATGCTACTGATCGGTCTTTCACAGCTCCATATTTAACTCGTAGATAAAACAAGCATATTTGATCAACACTTCAGCTAAGTTAAAATCCGGTGTTTCGCAGGTTTTTTTCTCTTTTCTCTCTTTTCATTTTCACATTAGCATAGTTTGTAGCAATTTAATGCAGAAAGAAATTGTTTCAACTTTTTTTTGATAACAAAAGATTATCATTTTTATAATTTTCAAAAATTTATTCTCGGTAAAAAAAGAAAGTGTTGAAATTCGTAATATCTATTTATAGAAATTTATTTCATTTTAGCTTAAATTAAATGCTGAAATTTTAATTAACAAATATGTTTTTTTTTTGTTCAAAAATTTGCAACAATCTCGGGATAAGTTGAAATGAAAAGAAAAAACTTTTTTCCGGAATTTTAATGATTTCTTTTATTTTTTTTCTGAAAATGTCACATGATATTCAGGTAAGAATGATTGAATGAATGATGATGTAAAAAAAAAAAATTCCCTTTAAAAATTCTAATTTAAAAATTTGTGATACTATCAAAAACATTTCTTTTTTCCTTTAATGAAAATTCTATCTCTCGCTAATGGAATTTTCAATTTTCATACTTATCCTAAATTAGTATGACTTTTTCCCTCTTTTTTGGCATAATCTTCTAAAATTCTTCCAATTATGCAAATTATTGACACTAATGCTAACGGTATTATAAGCATACAGTATTATTGGTCAGTAGATGAGATGGAATCATGGTGAAACGAGTACATCCCCTATCACACAATCTGTGTCAACCCCTTTCAACTCATTCCTTTTTTTTTTTCATTTTAACCGTTAACTTCCGTTGATATCGTAAAAGAATTTGAAATATTTTCAATAGTAAAATTTATTATCGCCAGTAAAATGTTGACATTTATTGTGAAATTTTGACTGACGCATCGAAAAGAATACATTAATTTCTTTCTTAAGAAATAAATTACGTGTAAATTATAAAAAAAAAAAAAATTATACCTTTTACTAATCTATGCTAACTGTACAGTACATTACATAAGATTTTATAAGTAAAATATATCCTATACGAATATTTTTTTATAAAAATATTTTCCTTATCTATTCCATTCGTAATCTCTTTTTTTCATATTCATTCGTTTTCGCATGAAATATTTCTCAAATTCTATTCATCTCATTTTCAATTAATTCAATTACGTCTCTTTAATTAAGCATTTACATTCAGGAATCATCTGAAGCTTAAAGATACCTATCTAAGCTTAAAGTTAGCTATATCTAAAAGCTTAGAGCTATTCATGATTTTAATGACTTACATTTTGGATAATTTTCTTCCTCCAAAAAAAAAAAACACATCAAATGACTCCAGATGACAAGCAATCGTTCATTCTTTTCTCCCTTTCTCTCTCTCTCTCTCTCTCTCTCTCTCTCTCTCTCTCTCTCTCTCTCTCTTACTCTTCCTGATGATTCATAAATTTCTCGCTTCTCATTTCTTCTCATCATTTTATTTCTCAGAGAATAAAATGGGAAACATCAACAACAGGTCATACTCTATTCAATTTCCAATCATTTCCAGACATACTAATTTACATGCAATGAGACGTATAGTTTTCATTCCGTCATTAAATCCTTGCAAGAATTCCTTAATTGCGTGTGTTGCAGCGCTATATTCGATGAAAAGAAAGCCTACGGCTGAGGTTATGGTATGTGTGTGTGTGTGTGTGTGTGTATGTGTGTGTGTNNNTGTGTGTGTGTATGTGTGTGTGTGTGTGTGTGTGTGCTTTGGTGAAGTGAAGGGGGTGGGGATGAGGAAGGATGTTGGATGTTCGCGGGTGACGGTACAGTGCTGAGGTTTCCGTGTGAGAAGAGGCCTAGAATAGGCATGAACGTAAAGTAGGCCTATCTGAGATAGGCCTACTTTACGTTAGGGAAGATTTGTTTGAAGATAGAGGAATGAAAAAGGGAAAGTTGGTGACTCAGTGTTTGTCGCTTTCGGTAAGCCAGCAGCGATAAGATTTGCTGATACCTGTAAACAGAATAGTATGGATAGGTTTTTATTTGCATATTATTGGAAGGTATAGGTTTTAGGATACAAAATGGACATTATCTTTTAGTGGATATTATCCTTGTATGGCTAAATTTAATGCAGATTCCTAAAATATTTGGGGTAGATTTATTCTGTGAAATTTAGTATCATTGGAAGAGTAACTGAAAGAATTCTTTATTTCATTCACTACTTGAGCTGTCAAAAATATTTCTGAAATAAGCAATTAATTAATTAGTTTGATTTTTATAGATAGAAGAGATAGGGTTAGTAATTGTGTTTCAGAAAACGGAAATAATGGACACGTTTGCACTTTTTGGTTTGTAAATAAACATTCAGGATGAAATGTTCTTTCATGGATTTCTACTGTTTTAAATGAAATTTTAGAGAGTTACACAAATACATATGAATATATCTCGTGAAATAGATGTTCCTTTTTTTCGTAGAAGAAAATATTTTTTTCAAGTTATGCTTTGATGGAAAAAGTTGATGGATGTAGTAGTTAGGTGTGAAACTAGACAGATGACTCCAAAATACTTTATGTTCCAGTAAAAGGACAGGAAGATTAGAACATATAAAACAAGAATGCTGATCATCGGGTAAAACCCGTGGATCTGTGCGGGCCCACGTATTAGGTTAGCAGTCTTTTTGTTGATAACGCAAATTACTGATTGATAAGGTCTCACTTATTTGACTAACTGATTTGTCGTTGAAGTAGCTTCTATTCTGCGTTGATATTACTAATTAGTTATCGTTCTATCTGTCTGTAATTAAAAAAAATTTATTAATTAGACTAACTTACTTGTCACCAGCCTAATTAACTACTCGTCGATAGTGCCAGTTAGTTTTCGTTATATTTATTATAATTAAAAACATTGTTGTTTTTAGATTATTGTATTTCTTCACTGGGTTAATCTATGATACTATTGTTAATTGGTATAGTAACATAATTTAAACGAGGAATTCAATTTTCAGGAATTTCAAACATAATATGTCCAGTGGTAACCCGCGAGGGAAACCAAGAAGAAATGGATCTATTCCAGGTAATTTCGTTTGATTCCCATATATTATGTTTCCACTGAAATGGTAAATAAAAGCACAGAACTGTCAAATAAAAATTTGAGTTTGTTATTAACTATTTGCTTGATTTTGGTTAATAAAAGAAGGCGTGAAAAATCAAAGAATGAAGGAGAGGAAGAAAAGGAAAAGAGAGAATGAATGGAATGAATGGACAGAAAGATGGATTACAGCAACCAAGCAGTTTGATCCCCAAATGAGAATGATATTAGGTTGTTTCTCATATGGCTTGTTATAAGGAATATTCTCGGCAGTGATATTGTCTGTCAAAAGTACCGTACCTCTCATAGAATGACCCATCATTTTGAAGGTAAAAATCTGCTCATTTTTAGTCCCATTTTTTATTCATGTTATGCTGGAATAATTCTACTTTGCCGTTTACCGTTTCTTCAGGTTTGTTTGGGAAATTTTGTTTGTAATGATATTTTTCTTTTGTGTCAAGAAAGGGTAAAGAATAAGAGACCGACAAGAAGGATTTTCAGCTTTTTTTTCTTTTTCTTTCTTGTCATGTATGCTTCATATGTATCATTTTTTTCCAAAATTAATGTCGAAGTGTGGGGTTGCATCTCTGTGTGCATATTATATGAGCATATTAGGAATAGATAGTGAGTATTTACGATTTTGGTCTGATGAAGATTATGCATTAAGCACTATAACACATTATACATGCAAAATTAGTCCGTTATTTTCTACCGAAAATAATAGATTGATTCTGTATGTATTGCATTGGACAAAAAAAAGATTCCTGAAGTACAGTAGAATTTTATGTTCTTGTTTATAGGTGCCTCATTTGAGAAGTAGTATCAGGTTTTGTCTAAGAAGTCAGAAGGGTGCGGTCTCAACCTTATACAGCGCACAGGCGCAACAATTAGACGTCAGCTTAATTTTTCGCGTTTTACGATTTCCAAAATTTAGAAGCATCAGTCTTTTTTTTTAATTTATGAATAAAAAAATTTACTCAAGAATTATTTACAACCATATTTCTTCAATAGATTTAAAGATAGGATTTGCAGATTATGGTGGTCAACATATTGTAAGCTCTCAAGTGCCCGTTGCAGTGCTACCGCCCGGGCAGCCACCACAACCTTTGGTTAATGGAAATACTGGGCAACCACCCCAACAACTTTCATTCGCTATACCAAGTGTAGACAACGCACATCCGCCACACACTACAGGCCAATATCCCACTGTTACACGGATGCCGCCTAGGAATCTTCCGTAAGTTTGTTAAAATTTTAAAGAAAGGAATGGAGCTAAGATCTTTCATTCGTTTGATACGTTAACGGAGTTGAAGTTATAGTAGTATTTTTGTTCGTTTCATATTCGTTTCATTTCTTTTGCGCTTTCCAATCTTTTGATTGTTTTAAAATTTGAGCATTATTCAAATAGTAACCCCAAAACAAATCATCCACTTATTGCAAAAGTGTTTGCCTTTTCATTTTATCTGATAAATTAATGATTTGTTTACTGTGTTATAGGAATCCAAGTATGCAATTTGCAGCGGGCGAAGCACATGTAGAAGGTGCACGTCCGCAGCAAGGTAATCATCAGATAACAATACACACTGCCAGATATCAGACGCAACCAGTTCAGACACAACAGAATTACCCTACTTCACAGGTCCGTTCACTTTTGTTTCTAAACCTAGTTTGTTTGAAATTCTGTATTGTCGATGAAGTAACACTTCCAGTTTTTCAATAAATCGGAAGTGAGTTTCTTATTGTGCCAAAGCATTTGAAAGTTTCTCGAATCATTGACTTTTCAGTTGGCTTACCCGACAGCGCCACCTAATTCGATGTATAATTCGAATGCCATCTATGGCGCGCACAGTTTTATACCCAGCAATCCGCAGTCATTTTATTACCCTCCGTTAGTTTATCATTAACTTTTGGCTATGTAAAAAAGATATTTCTAGACAAAGCAATTTTTATCATGGAATAAGGTGATCCAAAATAGACATAATAAATAGAAGGATTAAACTTAAAGTAAGCTAATTGTAATCAAAATTATTGTATGTATTCACAATAATCTCAAAATTTAGGGTTGTTGCTCCGGTTTATTCATATTTTCCTCCTGCACAACCAACAGATTACATCAATCCGGCGGCAGCGGCAGCGGCACGCATGAATGTAGGTTACAATCAAAATCCGTTTCTAATGCAAGCTACTGCAGCTGCAACACCACCCACTGCACCACCTGCAACGACAACTACAGCTGGAGTAGCTGGCAGTATACCACAACAACCATCGCAACAACTGACAAAAACTAAGAAAATTTTGTCAATAGTTGATCCGATGACGAACGAAGTAACGAATAAGGATCATATCATTAGATCTGAAAAGGAACAACAACAAATCATGCAACAGAACGTGGAAAATGCTGATACTGGCAAGTTTAATCAGTTTGTCACTTTATTAGCAGTTTATAATTTCTATATCTATCTAGTTAGCTTGCTTATACAGAAAACCATATTTCAGTCGCATTTGCATAACGGTTCATTTCCTATTATTTTTGATGACAGTAGGCATCAGATTTTCGGTCTTTCGATTGAATTCGTGTTCACATGTTATTTGTAAATTAAAGTCGAGATGACTTTAATCTACAAATAATATTGAAGTCTAAGGAGCATTAACTTGGAAGTTTTATATCTAAAAGTCATTAATAAATATGAATCAAGAGCGAAGGACGATTGGCATTATTAGAAAGCCTGTAAGAAGAGTTTATGAAGCACTTTGTTTAATGTTACTTTCATGAATGAAAGCCTTCATATTTTTTATGCACCGGATAATTGACTCATCTCCTAAAGTTTGCAAATTGCAAGCAGTTCTACAATTTTCCCATCAACAAATCTTTCCGTCCTGTTTGCGTTCTTACTTTTTACTCTTTCTTTCTTTGGCCATACAAACTAGATGCGGGTTTAACTGTGCAGATGAATTCGATTACAGCTGTTTACAGATGAAGCTTATAAAAATATGTCATATTTTTCTGCATATATGTTTTAGTTTAGTTGTATGTTTTTAATTATGTTTTAACTTTTACTGCAAAATTTCACCTAAATTCGTTTCTTGTTTTTCTGTGCTTGTTTTAAGAGATTACATAGAATGACCCACTGTTGTTCGTAAATTATTGGTTCAGCATTTAATTTTAATGAGTGGTAACAGTTTGTATTTCAGATCACTGCAGTTTTGTTTCGGTAGTTACACAATGAGTAGAGTATTCAGCTAAAGGGTTATTCGAAGGTGAAATTCATGAATATTTGAAATCTACTATCAGTAGATGCATACACATAATTTTCAAATCATTACCAAGCTGTACTGCTATATTTTTATATAGAAGAGGGAAAAGCTACCGGGAATTCTGTGAGTCTGAATTTAGTTTTAACAAAAAGCGGACCTATTCGATTTTCTTGAAAAAACTGTTAAGAAAAGATAATTTTTTCCTGGTCTAAAATGATTATTTTCTGAATTTTTCAAAGATTTGTTAGTGATCGATTGAATATATTCTTGCGATATATCGCTGCAGCTATGTAGTCAGTTTACGACTAAAGTTAATAGCATTTACTGATGTTAGCTGAGTTTAGAAGGGGAAAATATAAAAAAAAATTAAAAGAGTAGTTCTTTAGAAAGGGAAAATATAAAAAAAAAATTAAAAGTGTGATTCGATTGATTAACTTTAATAATTCACAGTTGCAGTACATCTGTAGTCAGATAAATCATGAAATGAACAAAAAGAGATATAGACAGAAAAGGCAGGATAAATATAAATTAAAAGAAATTAAGCATGGATGTAGGTAATTCGAAATGCTGACGGTTTTTTAATATTTTATACATAAAATTAAATTTTCCAGAAAATCGGTTTTTTTGTTTACATATAATTTTACCGGTTTCATTGGTATAGCCGTAATACAGACGCAACTGGCTAGTTGAGTGATATTGGAATTTTCTTTCGATAAAGCTAACATGATCACTGTTATGCAGTACGTTGTACCTTATGCTTTCAATAAGTACAATGTATTCAATATTGGATAGCTCGAATACTTCGATATTTGAAAGCACGGGCTTATAACTTTTGTTAAGTCATGTTTGCAATTTGTTATGAAAATTGCCGAAGGGCCACGACAAAGATGGTAGGAGAGTAACAAAAAGTTAGAATAATGAGAGTAATACTAACTGAAATAGAAGTCTTCTTTTCACAAAAATATCATCTGAAAAACAGCAAAGTAGCTTCTCTCCGATTAGTTTATTATGAGCTGCTCTCTCAGATGATCAAAGATAAAGGAAAATCCTGTATTACTAGTGTTCTGGTTATTGGGTTTTAGAACACTTGCATTCCACTTGTCTGAGGAAGTATACCAAGCAAATGTGCAGGAAAAGAAATAAGCAAGCTGGCAGTCGGATAGAAAACCACATAAATTAAAGCGAACGAATTGATAAATATGCTAACAGGCAAGGGGCAAGCAGACATGTAGAAGTGTAAAGCATGCAAAAATGCAAACAATATTTAGGAAAGTGTAGCAGAACTGGTAGCAGTATGAATGCTGGGAGGAAGTGTTATATAATTTATAATTTTCAGTTGAACTAATATTCTTTTCACAGCACAAAAGAGATTTGGATGAAATATGTAACTTTATGAATGTATAGCATATTTTTGGACTGTAGAATAATTTTAATAATAGCGGAAGTAAATACAGTAATGCCAATAGAAGATTTACATGAACAGCAAGAAATTAGGAATTGCAATATTATATAGTATATTCTTTACTTCACAAAAGGGTAATCTTGAAAAATGTGACAGCGAAGAGAGTTAAACTGGAGTAGGGAGGAGAGTGAGGAAGAACGTTTAACAGAAATGAAATTATTTAGACGTCAGTGGTTCAGGAGATGATGAGCCGCTATTGCGCCGTAACCGATGCAATTCATCCCTCATGCAGCTAGGAAGTATATCTTTTGTTGATGCCACCATGGATGCAACATCTCTTCAGTAAAGAAAAATGGAGGAATTTTTATATGAATTTATCGATAAAATGAAAGATATTTCCTCTTTTTTTCTTAAACTTGATTATATTTACTATAGCTGTTAAATTTGTTATTTTGCTACTGGATTGATTAAAGAAAGAGGATGAGTGTTTTGTGATAATAGTGTTGATGAAATTGAGGATTAACATTTTTTCAAATTTTTAGTTTAAGATAGATTAAAGTTTAGGGATTGATATAAGAACTTTTATTGATATTTTGCCTTGAAATAATGTACAAGTTTCAGTTTGAATGAATCATGGATTTGTAGCTCATTTGGTTAGAGCACACGTCTGATAATCGTGAGGCCGGAAGTTCAATTCTTCTTGTGCCCACTAAGCCTCTGTCTAAGCCTTATAGCAGTATAGCAGTTTAATATAACGCGAAACTTGTTGCAATAACAACTTTATCTCCATAAATATTACTTTCATCAGCAGCTTTTTCTGAAATTTCATATCATTTTTCTATGAATTTATCGATAAAATAAAAAACATTTCCTCTTTTTTCTTAAAGTTAATTATATTTACTATAACTGCTTTCATTTTTATGACTGCCAAATCGATAAGACAAGCAGATGAAGTGAGAGCATTAGCAAACTATTCCATCATTCTCTCATCCAGTGTATATTCCTGTTTGTCATCTATGTAGATGTATTTAAGAGAAGAAAAAATTTTAAAAATTGGGAAGGGATAAGCTAGGTGGAAGATTTGAAAAGTGGGAATGGGTAAAAAAGATTTTAGCAGATCAACTATGAAGGACTTATTGATGATGTTAATATTAAGAAACAGCGTAAAATGGATGAGTGAATAAATCTCAATAAGGTGATGTTGCGGAAAATTTACCAAAAGCAAGAGGTTTTCTACTTTGGTGTCAGTCATTCTTTACAGTTATACTGTTTCATTTATCGATATACAAATAATGTTAAGACAATTCAAAAGGCTGGTGTACCGATGACTTAATAATAATATCATTAACCGTTAGATTTCTTTGGAGAATTCGTTGTCGCTTATCAACCGAAGATATTGAAGATATGTATAAAGTTATCTTTCATTCAAGTAATTTCTGAGTTATCTCTGAGGATAGGAAAAATTGAACTACTATCGTGGAAGTTATTTTAGTTTTTTTGGCATAAGGACAAAGGTTTATTAATGAATGAATTTTTCTACGAATTTATTAAGATAGTTATTGAATAAATCCTAATGATAATGAAGTAACTCTTGGTATAAATTTATTCTTGTTTTGTAACTGTTTATTTTCATAAATAATAACTGTACAGGTCTTAAGAATAACAACATTGTCTTTGGAATTTTAAGAGATATTACTTTTCTGAGATGGATGCTTCTTGAATTTTCATTTAATGATTTTCCTTCATCTTTGTTTCGCCGCATTTTCTTGTCGATAATCTGGATTTTTATTTACGATTGGTATCTCTAAAATGTAAAGCGTTAAGATGGAATTTCATTTATTTTTTCAAAGGTCATTGTTTTACATTACATTTTTTCTTAATTTTCATTTATCATGTCATCATTGTTGTCCTAAGAAAAATTTTTTTTAACAAAATTAGGTCACCGATCTCTTTCTTTGGAGGAAAAGGAGGAAAGAAAGAGGAAGAAGTGGAATTGCTTCAAAGCATTCTATTTTTTTTGCATACATTGGTAATTATTCCTTGTTAAAAACGTGAGAAACTTTATTTTATTTTTTCTAACTATATTAGCATTTTCAGGTAGCAAAAAAGGCCCGTCGTCAGGACAGGATGTGAGACGTGAGCAGCCGTCGTCATTTCCTTCAAATGCATCTCAGAAGTTCACAATGCAGGTTGTGCAATCAGTATTAGGTGGTTCTAATGCTGTCATCGCCGTGACATCTACTCCATCACCTACAATCAGTGCCGCATCTTTTCCAGCGCAGGCAGTTCAAAACGATACAGTCGGTGATGTCGTACCACGACCATCGACATCAGCTCCACCAATATCTACTGTCATACCACCGTCTAAGGAGGTATCAATTTTCAAAAAATATAATCATCCATATATTTTTCGGAGGTGAGTCTAAATTCACTATATTTTGTTTTGTATGAGGGATTTATTTTGAAGTATTTAATCAGTGAATTTTTTTTAATGCAGCTTATATTTAAGATCGAGAGAAGTGCTCCACCCGAATTGTCAGCAGAAGAAACAAAAATTGTAGAAGCACCGAAATCAATAGAAGGAAATGATTCGATTGTCTCAGCTGAACCACAAGGTCTGTTTGGATCAAGAGAAAGATAGGGGGTAGAATATGCATAATGAAGCAAGCGTTTAAAAGAAATTTGGAGAAAGGAACTAATTAACAAAATTTCCTACTGTTCTGTAATTTGAAAATCGAATTCGATTATGTCCACATAATTGATTTCAGTATTAGATGAACAAATTGAACAAGACAGCAAACAGGAAAAGGAGTCTCAACAGATTGCTGAAATGGCGACACCTGTTATTACAAAAGATTGTACAGAACAGGATGTGGGAACCGCTATTATAAAAGCAGGTGAACTTTCGAAACAAGAAGAATGTCAAGAAGATGATGAAGAGGATGAAGAGGATGAAGAAGACGAAGAAGAACGTCGAAAACACCAACTACTGCAGCGAGCAGACGCTGATGATACCGTTCTTTCGCTTTCAATGCAGTAAGTCTTTTTCTTTGATTCTTTTTAATAGAATTAAATGAATATGTTCTTAAATCGATAGTGAATTAGCTTGCACGAAAAAAGATAAATTTTTTCCGAAACTTAAAAAATTATTTTCCGTGAATAAGAAAAATGCAATATTTGCAAGTTAATTATTTTGGTAATTGTATTTCTTTTTAGGGGTCATTCTGTTGTCGAAATAGTACACGAAGAAGAAACCGAAAAAGATGAGAAATTTTCCGAAGTAGAAGAAAGTCCTGAGGCAATGCGAACGAGAAAAAAACAAGAATATATTGCTAAACAGAAGGAGATGTTGCAGAACGAAGTTAGTTTCGCGAAATATTTATTGAAAAAAAAACTTAAGGCTTATGTCATGTTCTTGTTTAAGACATTGATATGGACCAGAATTTAAACGGTACGGAAGGCTTGGCTTAAATAAGAGGCTATAATCTTTTTATGATGATAATTTTTTTTCAGCATAATGTTCAATTGAATGAACGCATATACGGTCATGATTATTTGTTTCTGATACGTGACATAGTTAAAGATATCTTCATGGATTCCGTACTGCCTGTAAAAGTATCAGACTTGAAAGATCTTGGCATCGATATTGCTTCGGCACCTGCCAATGGGACTATTGGTGACCGTCAGGTTAGGTTTCTTTCGTTTATCGAATTTATTATGTGATTCATTGACCCATAACTTAATGAACTTCAAATGCTGAGCATTTTTTTCTAACAATATAACATCATTCTCATAATGTATGGGACAAGTTGACATGCTATACTAGTTACTAGTTAAGTGGGCATTCTAGATATTAGATATCCTTTAAGCAATGTTTGTTAATCATTTAATTCAACACCACTCTTAGATATCTCGGCCTATTTTTTTCAGCGCCGTTTCGATAGCGCAGTTGGTGCTGGTGCTCGATTCATACCTGGTTGGGTAGATAAAAGCCAATCAAAACCAAAAGCAGTTTGTTTTTTAGTAGTTTCTCTTTTACCAGATATTGTTTAAATAAAAAAATTAAAGCGGAACTGATACTTTTCTTATCGGTGAAAAGTCCTAATGCAACCGTGATCCTTCCCAGGGATATTGAGCTGATAAAAAAATGAAAAGAAAACGCATAAATGTCAAGAAGCACCGGAGTCCTAGTAAATTTTATAAGATTTTCATGTGCTATAGAAATGCATAATAATTTTATACATGAATTCATATATTCTAGTATCATGGAAGACTTAGCGATCGGACACATTCAAATCAGCGTGAACGTGACCGGAAAAGGGTTTGTAATTGATTTTCCAGTTTGTTTCATTGATCATGAATAATTTACGCACATAACTTTAACAATTATACAATTTATATTTATACTAATTTAAGGCAGCGGTAAGTCGGCCATCAATTGATCGGCCCAATCGTGAACCAGTAAAGTTGCATAAAGCTGAAAATGCATGGAAACCGGAACGAAATATTGATGCCAGTCAGGTAAAATAAAAGATTTTTGTGTCAATTTAGGAAATTTGCGAATCACAGAACATGTTGTAATCAAGTGATGTTGATTATCTTTTGATGAAGAATGTTATGAAGTTTTGCATAGTTTATATAAATTCAATACATGCATTGTTGGTTAAATAAATGTTTTATTTTATTGCAAGTTACAGAAACTGTATAAGAATGTTCGCAGTTTGTTAAATAAATTGACGCCATCAACATTCGAAGAACTTGCACGGGACTTTTTGCGTTTTGAAGTATATAAAAACAAGGAACAAATGGGTGAAGTGATCAACATTATCTTCGATAAAGCTGTTGAGGAACCGAATTTCTGTGCTCTCTATAGGTAATGCCATGATTTTTCCTTTGAAAGATAGTATTATTTCTCTGGAACAGTCAAATCAATAAATGAAGCAGAGAATAATAGAAATGTTAGGAATTTAGTTGAAATAATTACCATTTCAATTTTATAACTAGATCCATTTTTTCTAATGTTTTTTCTTAATTATTTCCCTTCAAATTTCCTAGAAAATATAAGCACGAAGAACGAAGTGGATGAATATGATGAAGTAAAAAAAAATTTTGTGCACCTTTCATTTGTGCTATTTGGAATTTATTGTAAACAAACACATATCTTATTAGTTAGAAATCGGGATCTGTTTTAGTGATCTTTGCAAAATGCAAGTGGTGAAAGAATCGAAGGAATCGAAGGATAAATCAAAATTTCGAAGTGCATTACTGACTCGATGTCAGAATACATTTGAGGAGAAACGAATGTCTGAAATCAACAATAAGAAAATTGAAATGGAGAAAGAAACTGATGTAAGTGTTTTGTACTTCCCTGTAACATTTGTAGATTTTAAATGATAATGGAAAGAAGAAAAAAACATCGAAAGATCAAAGGAGATTAATAGAATTGATAGAGGTCCTGTATTTGAGTGAAGAAAGATTAATCAAATTTTAAGACGGTGGTAGTAAAATTATCATTCTATATTATTTGTAACAATTGATGTTGGATCATTTACAAAAAAAATTTTTTCTTATAATTTATTTTCATGTTTTTATTTGTTGCTGAGGTTCATTTGATGCTTCATTAAATTGCATTGTGCAAAAATCGTTAAAATTAATTTTAATGATAGTCACTGGGCGCAGAACCGTAATTGAAATAGAGTAGAATTTTTACAAGTTTATAAGGCGAGAAAAGTAATTTACTATGCTCAAGTTGAAATTCGATTTTTGCAGGAGAAAAAGAAACGAGAACTGAAAATAGAATTGATGGAAATGGAAGCTCGAGAACGGCGGCGAATGTTAGGCAATATAGGATTTATTGGACAACTATTTAGGCATGAATTGATAGTGCCACGGATTTTGAATTGGTGTATAGTACATTTGCTCAAAAATCACAGTGAATCACCGGTGAGTATTTGAAACATCCGTGATTTGTTGATTTAATTAAAAACTTAAAAGTTCCATATGAAAGTGATTAAAATTCTTAAATGATAATGACTAGTGCTTTCTTTTGTAGCGACTTATTTGATTATAGATTTTTTGACACATTTTATGCTGGATATAAACTTCTGTGATTTTAAACATTCCGGAATTACTTTGAAGGAAGTAGAAGAAAATTGATCTATTTCAGGATGGTGATGAAGAAAGTATAGAATGTGCGGTCAAAATGCTTGAGTCAGTAGGTAAGTTGGCTGATCGTCAGTGTCAACAGCAGCAACAAGCAAGCTATCAGTTGGGATCATCGGATTCACATGGACAAAGTGCACAGCATGATCATCCTCAAGAAGCACAGAAACACGAAGAATTTAATACGAATCTTTATTTTGAACATCTTAGAGAAGTTTCGACAAAAGTATCAAATCGCGTTCGGTTTTTGATCCTCAATCTTATCGAACTAAGAGATGTTCGTTTCTATGCCTTTTTTTCGCATAACGATAATATTGAATTGGTTCCTCACTAGCCTATTGAATTGGTATCTTGATAACAGATTGCCGGTTTCATATCTTTTTATACTTCGAGATGAGGATTTTTTTTATTTTTCTTATGTACTTATTGAAAACGTTAGCGCCTATAATTTTCAGCAAATATCAATGATTGAGTGAATTAATATGAATCTTTTATCGAAATACATTTTATTTCTGTTTTCAGAATAAATGGGTACCACGGACATCTGAAAGTGGACCAAAAACTCTAGAAGAAGTACATGATGAAGCACGAAGAGAAGAAATGGCAAATAGGTTACAGCGTGAACAAGTATGTTCATAGAAGTTCGGTACATGTATAAAAATATTCTATTTTGTATGGATTTTCAAAAGATTATTTTGCAGTATGCCAATAAAAAACGATATGAGGGTCGGACTTCGTTAGATAAGCGTAACCAAAGGCCAGTATTGATTGGAAGGCAGTCACAGGATGGTCGTCAATACGGACCGAGAGTTGGTGAGCCAAATCGCGATCAGAAAGCACGAGCTGCTGGAGCTGCTAATCTAGTTGCTAATACTGCTAGCAGGAAAAATCAAACTCTAAATAGCGTATGTTGCTAATTTGTTAATTTTTTTTCTAAGCAGTAGGTATCATATTTTTTAAAGAGTATTTCAGTTTTAATTGTGCCTAGGATGGAAATTAACTTTCATTTGCTATTTGCATTATTTCAATAATGTTTTATATAATACAATTCGGTGATTGATCAAGATAATATCTTTATATTGGAACTCCAAATGCAAATGAATTATCAAATGGATTGGACACTATTCTACAGTGGTGATTTCCTGGGTCTTTTTGATGTAACTTATATATATATATATATCGTATAAATGTTACAGGTTGATCAACCACAGTCACTCGGTGCACGTCGACCTCCATTTGCAGGTGGTGCAATTGGTGGAGGTCAACAAATGGATAGGAATATATTATCTCGTGGTACGCTTGGTCGTGGAGCGGGCCGTGGCTCGCTAGCTTCTAGAGACAATTCTCAACCGTCTAGTCGAGAACCGTCAGAATCTAGGAAGTCTAGAGACGACGAACGTAGTGCAGTAAGTATATCAATTTCTCATGATTTGAAAATTGAACTTTCACTTGACCGTTGATATGATCTATTTGCTTCACTACAAATGAAATTGCTATTTAGGCCATTGCAGCGGCAAGCGCTGTAACGCACAGTGCAAGCGCTAATGCATTGAGGCGTGGATATGCGGGTATAATAGCCGGTGGTTCATCACCACCACCATTAACCGTAGATGATGAAAAAAAAGATGGGAACCAAGTTAACAGAGGAAGTGAATTGGATGAGAAGGAAATATTTGGATCACTCTACCGAGAATTGCATGATTATTTCTCCGATAGCACAAATATTGAACTGGTGATATTTTGTTTTTTGCGCTTTATCTTTTTTTAATAATAAGAGCCAGAGAAGTAATATATGATCCTTAATGTAATATCATAGTATTTAGAATTTTTTTCTCTCCTGTCTCGGAGAATTCTATTCCAAGTTAGAGCTCGTACAAAATTTTAGTTGGCAGTTCCTTAAAGTTTGGTATCTTATGAGATAATTTTTGTTGAATGCTTAGAAAGTCAAAAATATGATCCATTTAAGGAACATATTTTTTGACTCATATAATGGTATTTCTTAAATCAATGTTTAATTTACTGTTTATTTGTTCAGTATTTAATTGAGTATTTACGTGTATCGTTGGCTCAGGTCACAATGCTTAACTTGCAGCTATTCCAATCAGTCATGGAAATAATGATCGATGAAAAGACAATGAACATAGACCTTCGTCGTGTTCGACAAGCATTTCGATTGTTGATGAAAATAGGTGTTGAAAAAACTAATGGAGATATTCGAAATCCACGAAGGCGATGTGTTGGCCAAGTGATATGCAGGTGTTTGCAACGACCTGACATCAAAGCACATGCTCTTCGAGGGTTCGATTTTTCTTGTTAACATTCCATGTTTGTGTATTTCTTCTATATGTGATAATTGATAATAAAAAAAGTGATCTTGATTAAGGTCGTAAATACTGCATAGTTAGCAGTCATGTAGTTCGATGCTTTAATGTTTCAGTAAATTTGCTGAATGAAATTAACTAAAGCATCATTTTCTGGAATTATTTCGTCGCAGAACTTTTTCGTTCGAGAAAAAAGAAAAGAAAGGAGCAGAATATGTTTAATTGGACCTGTTAACCGTTTTATTGGATTTTGCAATTAAAAATTTTTTCGAAATTTGGAATTTAATTTTATGTTTGCAGGGTTGCAGACTACTGCACGCAAGTGGTGGAAGTGGAACTGTGGGAAGATAACATGAGGATATGGGAATGTGTGGCGGAGGTGATAAGTTGGTCAATAATGTGTGAAGTGCAACATTTTGAAGGTCCTCGACCATCTTTAGGGGATTTCAAGGAAGCATTTAAGAATGCTGATGCTGATTCAAGGAAGCCAAACGCCCTTCTTGTCAATGTGCTCAAACGACTAGTATGTTATATTTCTTATTTTGAATAAGAGCTATAAATTTTCAATCCACTGGATTCTAATGAAGCCATTTTTTTACTGCTATCCTGCTAAAAGAGAGAATTATCTTCTTCTTTGGAATTTACTTTTCAGTGAAAAATATTTTTAGTGTTATTTTCTCGGTTGCAGGTAGAAATAGAGCATGATCGCGACGGACAGGTATCATCAACAGGAATGGCATTTGATGAAATCAAGGATTTACATTCGGATTCGCTGATGGATGAGCTCAAATCATGTCAGTTATCATTTGGCAAAAATCTCTATCAATTATTGCTCAACTAATTGTCGTTATGTCTTTGCACAAATTAACCTTTTCTTCCATTTAGTTTATTTTTTGTTGGAATTCACTCTCCCATAGTTTCACGCCTTAATTTGATGTTTAAAAGAAATTTTCGGTGGGTTTTTTGAGGAGAATTCAGATAACCTTTTTTCCCCAAAAAAACCAGCCGAAAATTTATGATTCAAATTCATAAGTCCTGGATGACATGTAGCCTATGAAAGACTGGTCAGATCATTAATAATTTATCACATCATACAGTCGTCATATCCTGCTTTGGTTCATTTCAAATTCGAAAGCTCGAAATTGAAATATCCGAGTATGATGTACCAGCAAGTGCTTCTTTTCTTCATGTTTGCGCAACAATGAATTTATATCTCTGTGTTCTTGTATTTCTATGTCATTCTTCAATATTTTGCTCCTTTCTTTGTCTTATTTATTATCGCTCTGTGTAAGCTGGTGCGATATGTGATCCTCAACTACTAGATCTTATTCCATTTATGAAAAGAATTTCACAACTTTAATTTTCGCCTAGGTCTTTTGTTCTTGATTCTTAGAAAATTGGAAAACGACATGTCGCACTTTAGCCTTCGTTGCTTTCAAGATTCTTGTATCTATTATATGCTGCTGTAATAGTATTAGTGAGTTTATCGTGCTGACAATGGGTTATAAGTTTGCGACATTTCATTTTAAAACTCTTAAATTATTCAACCAAGCAAAATTGCCAAAACAATATCCTTAATGTAAATTGGATCCGCCGAAATTCTGTGGACGGTAGATGTTCCATATAGTCTAAGTTCTTTCAGGAAGAAAAATAATTTTGTTTTCTTCGGGATTTCTTTAAAAATACGATATTATGTGAGACTGGTGTTTATTGTTATGTGATATAAGACGATATAGATTGTTTTTTCTTTTTTTGCTTCCTTCACTTTTCATACAATGTCGATTAGTTCCTCAGTCGATGAAACTATCGATTGTTCCTCAGTTTACGGATGAGAATTCTTTTAAACCGGAATCTTTCTTTGAAATTTTCAAAAAATTTATCCAATTGTATCCAACGCATTCTTTTTACCTTGTCTTTTTCCTATTTTACTTTGTTTTTTGCCAATGCATGATTGGATGAATGATGGATACAGAGCAAGCTGGCAAGTCCAAGATGTGTATGGTTCTGAGAAACGGAAAAATCACGATAAAATTATGGTGATCTTTAGTGCATGACAAAAATAATTGTAAATTTTATGCTAATGACAGTGACTCTTTTCAATTGCTGTTGCCTGCTATTTGATTAGCATTTTTTCGGGAACAGTTTCATATAAGGGGATGCTCCTACTACACTAATAGTTTGTCTTTATACATGCTATTCAGATTTAATGAGTTTATTCCATTGCGGGATATATCAAAATGGTTACTCTGAACTGATTCCTTCCTTAATGAGTCATCTAAAATTCACATATCATACAGGGTTACTTCTTTTTTTGGCTTTTCTTCATTCATACATTACATCCCTTCTCTAACAGATATATTTTGCATCAAATAAACAAATTACTGATGGAAATATATCCATAACATATTAGAACAGAGTGCACATTATGTTCACAGTAAACATTTAAAAAAAAAAATTAAAAACGTCGTTTTATCTAATTTTTTAGGATAGCGATTTCAGCACAAAATTATAAAGCATAAATTGCCACATATAAACAAAATACTGGCATTATTATTGGGAGATTAAAATGAGCATCTCTCTCATAAAAATATACTATCGTTCTCATAATCACTGAATATTTTATTTATTTGAAGTAGAATATTTTTCAGTGATTTGGAAATTTTTCTTTTTTCATTTACATTATTTGAGAAATAAAATTTGAAATCTTTTGTATTTATCGCAAAATATCTCCCAATTAAGCGATAGCAGGGGATGCATTTTTTTTCTTACAATCAAATATGTGTAATGTAGGAGAAGAATTTGCAAAGATATCAATTGTATCCGATATTATCCGATCGAATTTCGGATTTTTATGATTGTTTTTTTCACATTATATTTATGGTTGATGTGCACATATTGCAAAAAGTAAACACAACTCATTTTATATTGTTTTGAAACGATTTTCATGATCACTTCCGAATGATTCATATTGGTTTCCTGAAAATGGAAGCTAATCATTAGAATGTTAATGATTCCTAAACTACATACCGCTGATTAGCATTATCAAGACAAAACATTTTACCGTGCTGAAATCATTGTCCAAGGATAACAGTCATACAATTAATCTGAATCCCGAACATAATCTTGAGAGAAAAAAAAAAATCATTAAAATTGAGTCGTTTGCTAATTTACTGCACGAATGATAGCTTTTTCATCATTTTTAGAGAATACAACGTAAAAACGTAACGTTCTTTATAATGTTTTCCTGAAATTGAAATATAAAAATTATTTCCGTTTCTTTTTTACATTTCCCGTCATTTATTGTTGTTTGTTTGTATTGCGAAGCGGAACGGTGAAATTTGAGCTGGAATGAAATTTCAACCAGTTTTCTTCAATTTATCATTATTTTATCCATATATTCCTACTAAATTTACATTATCTTTTATATCCGTTTGTACTGAAATTGTGATTATTACCAATTTCATCCGTTAGTGATATATTCAGTTCTTGTTATTTGATATTTATGAGGAATAATTGAAATGAAAAAGGAAGTGAAAGTCATATTTGACTAACTTTGAATTGATATTACCTAGAAATTTTGATCAATAATGCAATCCATTCAAAATATTATAAACTATCAAATGGTAAAATACAACAATTGGAGCTAAAATTTGCATCTACTCAGGTATCGTCAATTATATAAATATTTGTTGTTTGATATGGGATAGACATGATTTCTTGATAAATGCTTGGAGCATTAGCTGTTCCGTTAAATTCGATCATTAGTGTTAACTTTAAACTGGTAATATTTCAGATAATGTAGTTTTAAGTGTTAATAAAAAATACAGTAATACAGTATTCACGACGATTTACTTAAAGCTTTTGTGATTTGTCAACATTAGAAGCTTATCATTATCACTTCTAGAATTTAGTATATAATAGGAATTATCATATCTTGTATCAAATCGAAGAGAATGATAACTTCTTTCGTTTTATCAATTATCAACAATTTCCATTTCAATAACGCTTAACATTTAAAACAATATGACAAAGAAGAAAAGATGACAGAAAGTGACCTTTTGAAATATTTAACTCAAGATTATTTGACGATAATGCAACAGTTATTTGTAGCAATATCACTTTTTTTTGTCATTTTTTTTTCTTCTACCTTCATATTTCAATCAATGAAGAATTGTGAATCTCTCTTAGAAATTAGAAAATCAGGGAATTACTCTTGGACAATCAAGAAACGGACAATAAGGAATCTCTTTGTCAATTAAAAATTGAATGATAATGTCATTTGTAATACCTGTTCTACTGATTATCTGAAATCTAAAATTCTTCCAAATGAGCATTTATCTTTCATATTAATTTTTCAACTGTGTAACAATCGAAAATATTTGAAGTGATAAAGAGGTGATGATGAGTAATCTCGAGATGACTGATTTATTGTTCAGAATGGCCGTTGCTTTTGAATAAAATTTCGTTGCATCTCGTAAGTTTTATGAATGGTAAGGTCATGACTTAAAAATTCCTTTTTTACGAATCCAGTTTCACCTCTGATCGGACTCAATAGCGTACCACAACCGCGATAACCAATCTACAATCTTAGTTTTAGATAAAGATATTTCAATGAATACATCGGATAAATTTTTACCGCTCTCAATCATTTTCAATTTACTTATTAAAAATGTTTCAGTAATAGTGAAAAGATCTTATTGTTAAAAATTAAATTACATTGCTTGTAGAATTATGCAAGTTGGAACAATAAGCTAATAATAATGCTACCATCATTTCTAGCAAAAATAATATAGCAAAATTTCACATTTTAAATATTATTTCAGTTTAATTATTTGCTAATTTACCCTTTCATCGGAATCCGAGAAAATGCTAAAAACAAAAGTGCCTTCATATCGTGTTTGTCCATTAATATCTTGTAAAAATGTTGATCGACAATGCAAACCGGTTCTACGATTGCATGCACCTACCGGTATCGGTATAAAACATGATATCATACCATAGTTGGCACCAGCAACACTCAAATATGTGTCAATTAATTCAGTAAGTGGTGGACCTATAAAAGATACTATGAAAGCAAAAATTAATGCTTTTTTTTTAATGTCTAAAATTAAAGTTAGAAAAGGAAATGAAAAAAAAAAGACAGAATATTATATTAAATGCAAATTTCAGGTATTATTGAGGCAAAAAAAAGAGGAGAATTTAAAAAAATGGCGAAGTTTTTTCTGAAATATATGAAACAATTATATGAGATGATATTTCACCTCTTATTCATATCCTTAATAATTCACTCTTAATTATTACTTGTAAAAATTTACAAACAAACTCTTAATTATTACTCATTTTTGTATCAACTTATGATGCTATCTATGAACGAATCATTTTAAAAATAAACCAAGAATTTCACGAGTATCAACGCAATCACCGCCAAGAATTGCTTTACGCGTTAACGGTGAACCCACGCCATATGCAATCACATCAACACGTGTACCAGTATATTGACGGACAGCAATGATCATGCTCCTTGAAGGAAAAAAAAAAAAGATAAAATCATTCCTTGTGATCAAAGACTTGATCAGTAAAATTTAGCTAATCATAGCTTATAGAATTTCAGCAATAAATTTACCAATCCTTTTTCTTCATTAATGTTCACAAAAGTTCAATAAAATAATTTTGATCATTATTGTATAGTAATTAGCATGGAATAAAATACCTGATCTGTTTAACATACGAACATTTCATATCAATTAATGGAAGTGCTGTTAATCCACCATCACCCCATGTTGTACCATAAATTTCAGATCGTTTATAACCTTTCCTAAGTAAATGATTGACCATTCTCTG